AGCACAATTTAACTGTATTATGTTGATGTGTTATATTATATCACATCCAGCAAAGCAGGGCTAATTAAATGTACCTAGAAAGATAATACAAACCCTTCTTTGGAAAAATTGGCAAAATAGTTTATCCACAAATTATATTCTACATTATTATAAAAAAATCAGAATGTCTGAATCTGGAAATCAAAAGGATAGAAAGTACGTGAAACTATTCTATTTTTTAAAAAAAGACTTCCAGAGAAAGAGATAACTTCCCTTACTTCATCAGTTTTGTGTCTACTAACCACTGATTCCTGAAACTCTATCTAGTTTAAAAAGTTATGCTACAGAAACCTGTTTCCTTTTCTTCCCTCCCACCCCCAGTAGATATGAAGAACATCTACAGTTGATAAATTGTCTTGCCTTTATCATCTCCCCATTATTCCAAATTTTACATTTATGCTTTGTCGTCTCTAGGGTTTTTTGGTTGACACCAGTATTATCATAGAAAAGGTTATGCACTTTTAGTAGCAACAAAGAACTGGAAACAAAGTAGATATCCACTGACTGCGGAATGGCTAAAAAAACTGTGACACATAAATGTAATGAAATATTACTGTGCTCTAAGAAATGAGGAATATGAAGAAAACACAGAAATATGGACTTACATAAACTGATAGAGTGAAGAAGAGGCAAGAAGAAAAGGACAATATAAATAGAAAGAATAATAAGCAGAAAACAATCAAAAGTGAATGCTACAAAACTTTTTGTAAAAAAAAGAGGATTTCTCCTGCTTCCTTTGCAAAAGTGGGAGGTCTGTGGATGTTTAACACTGTATGTATTTTCAGATTTCTTCCTATGAAGTGATCATTTTGCTGATTGTTTTTTCTGTTCCTCTTTTTTCTCTGAAAGCTATTCTTTATTACATGGGATGACTCTCTGGGGGGAGGGAGGAATATAAGGAAATTTAGGTGATAAAAACAAAAGATATCAATAAAAATTTATGTTTAAAAAAAGAAATGTTTTTCTGGGAAGAAAATGAAAATTATATTATCAGCCTGAAAAATACTTCAGGTTGCTTCAGTACACTGGTTTATTAAACTACTTGAAGCTTATAGCAATTCCACATTACATTAACTACGGATCCTGGTTAATATATATGTGGACATATCATTAGAGGCACATGGACAAAACCAACACAGGCCCATTACTATAACAACAAATTCCATTTTGTGTCTAAAAGAATCTTGATTCTCCCCAACCCCTTTGTTGGGAATGTGCAAGTACTGGGAAGGCATAGTTTAATTAGGGATCTGACCACAAGAGAGTAAAGTAGTCAGGAAAAGTCTTTATCTTATGATTTAGATCCAAGACATGCTGATGTTAATTGAATTCAACAGGCTTTTTTTTTTTCTTTTTTGGTGAGGCAATTGGGGGGTAAGTGACTTGCCCCGGGGTTACACAGCTAGTAAGTATAAAGCTTCTGAGGCCGGATTTGAACTCAGGTCCTCCTGACTCCAAGGCTCTATCTACTGCACCACCAGCTGCCCCTCACCAGACTTTTATTAATTTGCTATGACAAACTTTGGCATCTCCTTTCCAGGCTATGGTCATACGGTAGTGGTATGTCAAAAGTACTGAAAAAGTTAACTGTATAATCAGAGGATCTCCTAAGAGTTCATATTAGTATTTTGCCTAAAAAACTTCCTTTCCATGGAATCTTTATTTAGTCAAAGGCACCTTGGTCTAGTTGATAGCTGCTGGATAAATCCCTCCATCCTCCAGTCAGAAGGACTTGGTTTGAATCCTGCCTCAGATTATTACTAGCTGACAAGTCACTTAGCCTCTGGCCAAGAACAGAGGAAGTCAATTTGGCCTCTCATAGCTTAAGCCTTCTCATTTGTCAAACAAGGTTAAAGCCCTCTTCAAACCTTAAAATATCATATAAATAACAGCTTAAAAAGGATTTACAATTTGGCTTACATGGTGATTAACTATGTGCATTTAGTCGAACTGCCAATATTTTTCAAATCTTAACAATATAGCTTATAAAAACGCAACCAACCACCCTTTCCTTCCCACTGCAAAACAAGCTGATGAAAAATGAGCCACTATTCAATTCTGAAGCCCTTAAAAGAAAAACAACAAAAGCCATGACATGCATCAACAAAATCTTCAACCAGTGTCATCAACAGCAAATATGTGTATCATGAGAACCAAAATCTAATCTCGAGTATAGCTTTCTTCTCTCTTTCTCACAAAATATTCATTATTTATTGGGGGCAGTCCTTTTCGAGAGCATATAACAAAGATAAACTCCAGTATGAACCAAGTTGTCAGCAAAAGACAGGCTACACTCAAAGCATGATGGGGTACATGAAGGGAAAGAAAGATTTATGTAATTAGTAAGTAGACAAAAGGACTTTCTCAATAGAAGAGGTTACAACTTAGCCATTTCCAAGGATACTGTACCTGTCAAGGTAAACCCTCAATTAATGTGTCCTGACAAAATGCTAACAAAAGATTAGTGGCTATGAGTTATGTGCCTGCAAGTTTCTGCTTTCTGAAACCATGAATCAGCAGTATTTCCTATACATTGATCTTCAGCTTTATTACAAGGAATGGAATGAAATTAAATTTAAAAATTAGCTTATTGCTAGCCTGAGACCTGAGTTAACAAGTTTCTGTCCAAAATAAAATGCAAATTTGATTTAAAGAAAATTTCCAGTTTCTCTTCAAAAAGAAAGCACAATAATACAAATATTCAGTTTCCTGAATTATTTTCCATATAAATGAGAAAGGCTAGATTACAAAGGGACAATCCTAAATTCTTTTTTTTTTAACAGAAGCAAACTCCTGAATTAAAAAAATGATAAGGGGCAGTTAGGTAGCACAGTGGACAGAGCCTTGGAGTCAGGAGGACCTGAGTTCAAATCTGGCCTCAGACACTTGACACCTACTAGCTGTGTGACCCTGGGCAAGTCACTTAACCCCAACTGCCTCACCTAAAAAAAAAAAGATAAATACCCCTAATGTTATGGTCAAAAATTCTTAATTATCCCAATATTCCACTTACCAACTCATTTATCTTTTTACAAGTACCCAATATAGTAGCACATTTAAAAAAATAAAAAAATTATATTGGGAAATAAGGTGTTTTGAATTGTCAAAATCCAAATAGGTACATAATACTAATGGAGGTTTTGGGGTTTTTTTTGGGGGGGGGGTTGGAGGCTGGAGGGTGGAGATCTCATGCCAATTCTCCTAGTTCAGTGAAGTACCTATTAAGCTCTTATTGCTCTACCCCCAAAACCTGTCCCGTACTCAACTTTTCCTGTGTACATACACATGACAATTTTATTCTCCTTTCCACTTAATCACCTAAAAAATAAGCATTTCAGCATGGCTTTAATAAGAATAATCCAACCTAGAGGCAAAATCAAGTGCTGGACACATTATCATTTGACTAAAAAATATTTAACGTAATTTCAATTTGACTTGAAAAGTAGCTTACCTGCTTCCAAAAGACAAAATTCTCAGTTGACACTGATAGATGAAAACTAATATCTGAATCAGGACCATCAGGGAGTAAATCCCTTTAGATGAGGGTAAAGAGTGTTCCTTTCCTCTCCCAATAAGGCTACATTTTAAAAAATGCATGTTTAATCTATCAGGACTTTGAGTATTTTCAACAAAAGTTTCTAACTTCCAGGCACAGTATTTCTACTGCTATTACTGTTAAATTCTTGGTATATAGCATAAGAAGGTATTGTGGTGTAGTGGAGAGAGGACGGGAGTTGGAATTAGGGAGACCTCAGTTGGATCCTGCTTCTAACAATTTATTAGCTATTTGACCTTGGGCAAGTAACAACTTCCTCATTTGAAAAAAGAGTCGGACTAAATGGATTTCCAAAGTTCCTTCTCCAGCTCTAAAGTTAAAATTCTGTGATCATAATTACTGGCTACTATGAAGAGAACATGACAAGTCATTTTAAAAATTACCAAGGGCTGATACAAACAGAAAAGGACAAAGTCTATTCGATATGCCTTTCTCTTCCTTAAAAGTCATGTGTGGATTAGTTTGGGGTTGACTGAAAATAAGTCTGAAGAGTTGAAATATCACTACCAATATCACTTGGGAAATCTGAAGTTTAAGGATTGAACTGGAATGCGAAAAATTCAGCAGTATTTGGTTTTTCTGTGTACAAGAAAGAATGTTGCAATAAAGGCAATCCAGATTCAGGGGAATTAAAGAACTAATGACAAGAAACAGTAACAAATGGAGTTGCCATAGTACATGTAATTGTTAAAGTTATGTTTGCTTGGTAGTGCCTGGAGTCAGTCATGCAGAGGAACAGGTAAACCAATTTCCAAACATCTATCATAAAATCAAATTTATGCTTCAATGCCACCCTCCAATAATCCCATGTGACTCAACTGTTCCCATTTGTGAAGATTCTGGAATTATTATCTATTCTTTACCTTTCAGAGAGAAACTGGTAACAGCTTAAGACCGATAAATGTTTGTGAAGCACTTTATGTATATTCCTTCATTTGGACCTCTCAACAACCCTGGTGAGGTAGGTTTTATAGGTATTAACTCCATTTTTGTGGACAAGGAAACTGAGGCCAAATGATTTACTCATGGTCACAAAGCTAGTGTGAAATGCAGCTCTGTCTTACTGACTTGAATTTTACCTTGGCGTCCACTATACCATGCTGCCTTACCTTAAAAGTAGCTACAACAACTTTTGATTTGAATCAAAAACAGTCAAGTGACGTGGTTAACATACGTCCTTTATTACTACAAATTTTTGTAACTAACGGAAGCCCTAGATCTGCCCTTTTCCAATAAAAGCCAAAAACACCAAAAATGTACCCTATTCATAATAGTGATGCTAAAAGCAGTGCTGACGTGGACAGATCTAAACATAAATCTAAACAGAATCTAAACATAAGACTTAAATAACTTGAAATGAAGAACATCAGGGTTAACTTTCAAAAAGGCATCTATTAAGACTTACCTATCCAAGTCGTCCTCTCCAAGAAGTAAGGGTGGAAGCGGCAGAGGAGGCAAAGTTGAAGTTTTCAGGTGTGGAATAGCAGCTGTCAAAGACACCTGTGTCTTCACAGAAACCTGTACAAGGGGCTGAGAGTTTGCCTGAGAGGATAGAGCAGATGTCCTTGGGTGAGCAGAAGATGACAAAGTTGGGGTGACAGAATTAGAGACCTGACTAAAAGCTGGTTGGAGAGGTGGCAAAGGTGGTTGATGTGGAATAGCAGGTAATGGAGGCAAAGGTGGCAGGGGAGGCGCCTGAGGTGGAGGGGTGGTAGTTGGTAGAGGGGGTGGAGAAGTAATTGTGGGGAGAGGCGGAAGAGCCTCTTTTTCCATTATCTCTGATTCCTTTGGAGCCACAATCTCTTCTTTCAATACTATGGGTTTAGAGTCCTTTAATCCCTGTGATTTCAAGTCTTTAGTAGAAACAAGATGCTTCTTCTCGGAGTTCTCATCCAATTTTATTTTTCCAGGATCTAGAGAAGTTTTAATCTCTGTATTCAGATGTGTTAAGTTTACCAGTTCGGTATCTGAGGCAGATTTTTCAGATTTTAAAACTCTAGATAACTTTTTAGACTCAAGACTTGACTCTTTAGTCTCTCCTGAGATATTTTCCTTTTTAGCCAAAATTATAGGTGACCCCTTCACTTCTTTTCCATCTACTTTTGCAGCAGCTGCTGCAGCTGCTCTTTCCTTCTTCTTTCTGCTGAGCTCAGCTCCCAGGCTGGAGTTTAAGGGGAGCCTGGTAGGTGAGATACTAGAATGTCTACTTCGTGAACCAGATCGCTTCTTTTTGCTGTGGGAAGATGAATGTCTAGAATATACAGGACTTCTACTTCTAGACTTCACTGATTTCCTGTGGAGAGAAGAGACTAGTGGTAAAAATGAATCTTTCACAATCATATTCAAGGAAAACAGAGTTAGTACAGTAAGTAAGCTTTGGCAGATGGGAACAAACATTACTCAAATTAACATAGTGTGGTATAGTGGAAGAACTGTGGCTCTAGATTCAGAGCTGGGCTCAAACTCTGCCTGTTGTTCACTACCTGTGTGACCTTGGCAAAGTCACTTGGTTCTCAATTTCCTAGTGTCTCTCTCTCTCTCTCTTTTAAAGAGGGTTTGGCCTTTGAGACCCCTTCTAGCTTTTGATCTATGATCCTAAAATCTACCATAAAAATAAATGGATAACAACTGGTTCCTACAGGACACAAGCATTTGTTGTTTTTCTATTGTTTTCAGTCGTTTCCGACTCCATGACCCCATTTGGGGTTATCTTGGCAAAGATTTGCTTTCTTGGCAAAAAGTGGTTTGCCAGTTCACAGATGAGGACACAGAGGCAAACAGGGTTTTAAGTGACTTGCCCAGGGTCACACAGCTAGTCACACAAGCTGTCTAAGGCCAGATGTGAACTCAGGAAGTTGCTTTTTCAGGCCTGGAACTCCCAGCTGCTGGATACAAGCATACCTGAATCTAATAATACTATGTTATATTTGTGTAACACTCCAGTTGTTAGAGAGCTTTTGTCTATATTTCCCTCTTTCACTCAAGAATAAGCTCTTCTCTACTCAGTATGCTAAGGAAATATGACTCTTCTTTTGTACTTTTGAAGGGGCAATGATAATAATTAAAACAAAAGGACAAAGCTTTTAGATTTTAAATTTCAAACTTTTTTAAAGTTGTGAAAATATTAAAGGGATTTCTGAAGCTATGACCTTCTGCAGGAAATAAAAATAATTTGCATGCCTCAGATACCCAAATTTTCTGACTAGGTAGTTGTTTACGTTTCAAACTTCAGTCAAATTCTTTAGGGCTAAAACAATCTATTTTGTATTTTTAGTTGGTTTAAATATTATAGGTATTCCCTCACTGTATTCTAATGTAAAGACAAAAATCTGAATTTTTAAAAATACAGAAAAATCTGGAGTATCTGTTTTACAAAAAGATTAAACTCAGGATTTATCAAAAAAGAGAAAGACCTTTTCCCTGTCCCCTTTTAAGGTGTTCTAATTTACACTCTACTTTTCAGGAATTCAGATCATATAAAGGCAGGGCACTTCTTTACTTTCAAACACTCTCCCTTCCCTGCTTACTTCCTTTCCTCCTCCCTCCATCCCTTCCTTGAAGGAAACTATAAAGAAACAGAGAAATAAATCTTAACCTCGACAATGAGAGGAAGCTAAATCAAATCTGAACTACTATTAATTCCATTTGACTGAAGTGTCTATGAAGTCCTGAAAGTACAGGAAGAAGCATCCCTGCTAAAAATCAGGCTGAACAAACCACAAATCCTTCCAATAATCTACTCTTTTTTTTTTTTAAAAGGCAACTGGGGTTAAGTAACTTGCCCAGGGTAACACAGCTAGTAAATGTCAAGTGTTTGGTCTGAGGCAGGATTTGAACTCAGGTCCTCCTGACTTCAGGGCCAGTGCTCTATCCACTTTACCACCTAGCTGCCCCACCAATGATCTACTCTTGATCATCAACATCATCTATGGTAATTTGGTTAACTTTGCTCCAGAAACGCACTGATAAAAACCTAACTTTACCATCATATTCCCTAGAGTTCAACATAAATCCATTGTCAAATTATGCACATTTATGGAGGTAAAAAGTATGTAGGTGGAGAATACTATGTTTTTCTTTTAAATATCTGACTGAAAGGGATTTTCTTTGCTGTCATTATAACAGGACTAAAATGAAATTCCCTCTTTTTTCCAAAGAAAACTTTGGAAACATTTCCCAAAAGCTCAACTACTTGCTTTGACTCTTACTGAAGGCACTATAGCCATTTGTCTTTAGTCTTTCATTAATATAATAATTAAACCAATTAAATAATTAAACAACTTCTCCAAGGAAATGCTACAGTATTAATTATTAGTACTAATTCTACTACCTTATCTGGTGTATGTAGTACTTTACAGTTTTCTGTTTTTCACATATTTCATTCAATTTAAATACCAGGTTATAAACTCCTCAAAAACAGGAACTATGTCCTATCTCCCACAATGCCTTGTACCTATGTTTGCTGAATTGATTTTCATTACTATCCTATGATGTAGACAGGGTAGCTATTATAATTCCCAGTTGCCAGAAGACGAAATCAAAGCCCAGAGGTTAAATGACTTGACTAAAGTTACACAGATATTATGTGCGAGAAACTAGATTAAAACCCAAGGCTTCTGACTCCTAGTCCCATATCCTATGTTTGGATAGCCATATACTAAAAGCAAATAACAGAATGTTCCATACCATGATTGTGTTAAATATGAATCCTAGCTCTCTCCACAAGAAAAAAGGTCTATTGGAGGCTGAAGTGAGGCATTCTAGTCTCTATTTCCTCTCTTTCATGACTTCTTGGGAAGGCAGCATGATACAGTGGATAGAGCACTGGCTCTGGAGTCGGAGACCCTGGGTTCATATTCTGTCTCTAATGCTTTTCCACCTTTGTAATCTTGGAAAAGTCATTTAACCTCCCTGAGTCTGCTTCATCAAACGTAAAATAAGGGGGCTGAACTAGATTGAATGGGGTTGAAACTAGCCTTTGAGGCCCCTTCCAAATTTAAATCTACAATACTGAATTAAACCAGTCCAATCCCACCTGAACTTGAAGTATCATTATTCTGGTTACAACACAGTAATTTCTAATGCAGAATTTCTGGCTTCTTTAATAGTGTTGTCAGTCTAAATTAAATTTTTAAAAACTCTCTGAGTGCCTACTATGTCTGCTTCCTTCTGACAGCGTAAAAAGGAAAAATCACAGAAGATGGACACAAAAAGGCACCACATGTTCATGGTCAATCCACTCTGACGAGTGTGCATTGAACTTCTGGCACCATTTGGATTGCTGATGAAATGGAGGAGGAATGCATACACATGACAATACCAAATACTGATACTCTGTGTAAAGGCAAAGCTCTTTTAAGGAAAACAAACAAAAAAAACTACAGAAATGACTGTGACTCCAGGAACTGAATATGCATCAAATTTACATCCTGCCCTTATATTTTTTTTAAATTTATATCACTATTAAGACAATCTTCAACAAGGTTGAGGAAAGAAACAGAGAATGAGATGGAGTATTTTCTATTATTGCCCAAAACAACTATCCAAAAAAAGCAGTTACTGCTGGTACTTCTTCAATTCAACTCAACAAGCATTTACTGAGCACTTACTACATGCCAGGAACTATATACTAGGTTTTCAAGGGACTAAACCTAGTATGAAAACAATCCCAGCGCTCAAGAAGCATTCCACTGGGGAGAGGGGAGAAAGCAACACGTACACAGAAAAGTAAATTCAAAATGCATACAAAGTATACAAAAGTACAAAGTAATTCCAGGAGGTTGAAATGGAACACTTAACAACATGGATCCTGAAAGGCCTCATATAGGAAGTGGTTCATGTGCTTTGAGCCTTGAATGAAGCTTGGGATTTCAAGAATGTCACACAATGAAGTTGGAACATACCTTACAGACCATCTAATATAGTACCCTAATTTTACAGATTAATGAACTCCTGTAGCCCCAAACCCAATGGGCTAATGACACTGTCAGAAAACCTATTTTATAACTACTAGGAAATACTCAATAAAATTTACCCTTATAAGCAAACTGGCAATACTATGTGGAACAAAACAACTAATTCTTTAAAAATTACTCCAGCTCCCTTAAAGGATCCATCACACAGCCTCATAGCTCAACAGAATGTTAGAGTTGGGAGGGATATTATAAATCACCTAGTCTTACACCCTTATAGATTTAGCAAAAATTCCCTCAAGAATGGTGCTAGATTCTTCCATGCTCCATTCCTAGCACTGGCATTGACACATAGAGGCAGGAGAGTAGTTTAATGTTTCCACTACACGAATTTTAAAAAATGGAATAAACATACTGACAGCATGTAAAAGTATGCTTGAAAAAAGGGTGATGTTTCCTATTCCTTGAAAATAAAAACACAAAGGAAGAAAAACTTTCCATAAGTAGTTTACTCCAAGCTGTGAATCTCAAACTAGAAAAAAATATGTTTTTTCCCAAGGACATCACCAAGTTAGGTATTAATTCAATCTATTCAAAGGAAATGACTGGTCTGTGGTCACAAGGAAAGTTGATGATGGAGCTAAAAAGAAGCCTATTTCTCTTGATCACCAATTTCTGCCTTACCATTCTGTCAAAAGAAGGGCAAGTATTGAGATAAATTTTAAACACTAACTAGAAGGAAATGGTTTAGATTAATATGAAAAGGGAGTGGGGATGATGAACAATAGAATGCTATCAATTTGTAAATGAACCCTGTCCAAATATCCTCAAGCTAAGAGAAATGTGTTTTTTTTAATTAAGAATAAGTTGCCAAACTCAGGACATCTAGACCACTATTATAAATGTATCAAGTAATGAATATGGATTTTCCCCACAGAGCCTCATACTTTTTTGGTGAGACCACCTTTAAGAATGGGAACAGGTGGTTCCACCTTGCAGATTAAAGTCTCACCAAAGGCAGGAGCTGGGACCAACCATGGAAGTAGTTTTTACCATGTAAACTTTCTACTTTTAAGATAGCAGGTCTACTAGAGACCAGAGAGGTTTATCTATTCTGATACGTAGCCAACAACAAAAGTTCTTGGTCATGGGTGGTCCTGACTACTTACTGACAGGCAAAGGCCCTTCAGGGCACTCCAGTCCTTCTCCCCCACAACCTATCTTCTCCCAAGGCAAAGAAATGAAAAGAAAGATCACATACCTGGGAAGAGGACTCCGACTCACAGAGCGCTTGGTCACAAATGGGCTGCTTGAGCGTCTTCGGCTATAAGGACTGGGTGATCGACCACCATATGAACCACTCCCTCTCTCATAGCTGGATGAACGCCTCCTGTTGTATGGACTCACTGACCTCTGCCGCCTACTGTATGGACTGGGTGAACGAATGCTGGACTGGTAGGCCGATGGTTCTCTATAAGGTGGACTAATTGACTGTCTTCGTGAGGACCCACCTGGGCTCTTCTTGTAGGAGTCATAGTTGCTGGAGGTATGAGACCTTGGAGGACTAACATCATATTCCTGGCTGTATGATGCTCCAGAAGGGCTGTCATCCTGCTTAGGGCTGTCAGACCATTTTCGGTGAGGGCTCCTGGATCTGCGTTTGGGACTATCTATTGATTTGTAGCTTTTGGGTGGGTCTCTTTTCCGATGACTTTTAGAACGATCTTTGTGTCCAGACTTTAACTCTCGTTCTTTTCGAGTCTTCTCCTTATGGAATTTGGCTGACCTAGATTCCTTGTTACTGCTACTCTTAGATACTAGTGCCTTCCCGTAGTCATCATTCTCTTCATTCAGTCGTTTTGAAGTCCCAGAAACTCGGTCCTTTGTGGACACTGACTTGCTGGAGACTTCTTGGTTTTTTTCCACCTTCTTCTCCTTCTCTATCTGCTTGGTTTTCAGTAGCTCTCTGATTCGCCTGTGCTGATGATGGCGATGTTTGTGGAGCCGGTCACTCCTATCAGTACCCCGACGATCATCATTATCTCTTCTATCTAGCTTGAAGGCCATGTCATCAGAGAAGGTGTCTGAATCAGAGCTGATGTCGTCGTACTCCACCAGGGGCTTGATCATGGTGCTCAGAGGGGCTGCTTCAGGGGCCAGAGAGCCTAGATCTTTGGAGTGCTTGGACTTGTGCCTCTTGTGTTTGGACACAAGTCTATGCCGCTCTCTGCTATTAGAGCTGCCACCACCACCCAGAGATGATGGATGCATGGCCCCAGAACTCCCTCCACCCCCATCCTTCTTGCCCCCATGTCTCTCTGAATTGGGCATTCCCCTTCCCCTAACTTCAAGAGGGGAGAGGAATCCCCCAGAATCCCCAAAGTCAATCCCCACCCTCCCCCCCAACTCACACTCAGCAAAGAGTCCCCTCCTGAAGAGGGGTGGGGGGGGAAGGCGCTCGCCCCGGCCCCCCCTCCCTCCCTCCACCTCACCTCCTTCCTACATGAGGTGGAGGGAAGAGCGCCCGGGGAGGGGGAGGCGAAAAAAAAAAGCTCTTCAAAGGCTGCAGAGGCAGAGGCTCCCGCCCCGCAGGGGGTGGGGGAGGCCGGCCCGGCCCCCTGGAGCTGTGGGGCCGCCTCGGGCTCCGAGCGGGCCTGTCTGTGAGGGCTGCGCGGGCCTTCCCCCAGCCGGCAGTCCGGCTTGCCCTGAGGCCTCCTGACGCTGGGGGCCCGAGGTCTGGGCGCCCCCCGCTCCCTTTGTCCCTCTTTCCTGGGGAAGTCACTACCCGCTCCCCTCGCCTCAGGCCTTCTTCACACACACTCACTTTCACCACACACGCTCTCACACTCAGACACACTAGGTTAAACCGAAACGGCACTTAGCTGAGGCTGGGGTGGGGGTGGGAAACGCAGCCCAAATCTCGCGAGAGTAGAGCTACTCTCGCGAGAGAGACACCGGCCTTTAGCCACTTTCCCCTTTCCTATTTCCTTATTCCCTCCTCTCCAGGCACTACCAAACTCCGCGAGAACGGGTTAGACTAGTGACGAACAAGTCATCGACCTCTCGCGAGAATATAGGTAGCCAATTTTTTTAAAATTAAAACAAATCTTTATTGATAATCTACATCCTGTTTTTTTTTTCAAACAAGACTTTATCGGGAGCTTACCTTAGCCAGCAGCTTCCTTAGTAACCTTACACAGTGTTCTTGCCTTCAACTTTACCCTCAGCTGCCTGAGATAACCACTGCAGGACCTACAAGGACCTCTTGCTCCTACAGGAGTCTGAAAACATGGCCATTACCCCATACGATCTTTCCCTCAATACCCTTCCCACCTCCAAACTTCTTGTTACTGTCGAAGGCTCCACTGTCCTTCCCTATTTGACTTGCTGCTAAAATCTTCTATATGTATTATCTCCTCCAACAGTATGTGAGCTCCTTAAGAGACAGGTCCATCTTTTCTATTTGTAACCTCAGTACTTTGCACATTGTAAACTCTTCATCCGTCCATTCATTCTAGTCACCAAGGTTAACCTCGTCAATATAATCACTTCATATTGTGTGTGTATAAAATTTACTTTGTATATATTATTTACCTCGTATATATTGTATATATAATTTACTTTTTATTTATTATTTCGTATGTATCATTTATTGTGTATAAAGATGGTTTCTCCACAAAATGTAAGCTTCTTGAGGGTAAAGACTTTTGGGGTCCCTATTACAGTTCAGCTCAGGCAGTTATCTCATCTGTGAAGGCTTCTCTGCTCCACCTAATTTTCCTCTTCAAACTTTTCTATCTACAAGTGATTGATCTGATTAATCAATAAAGTTAGCACTTATTATGTGCCTACTATATGCCAATCAACAGTTTTTCTCCTGAGCTTCAGTCCCACATTACCAACTGCTTATTAAACATTGCAAATGCTTTATTGACTGTGAATAGCATATAAAGAGGTTGGACTGATGTTGAATATCTGAGGTGAGGAAGAGTGAGAAGCAAAAGGTTTATGTAAAGGTTATGAACCTGAGGAAGTGAAAGAATGGTGGTAGCTTTGACAGATAAAAGAAAGTTTGGAAGAGAAGTGGGTTTGGGAGAAAAGATACTAAATCCTGTTTTAGACATGTCTGAGATGTCTCTAGATATCAAGTCAACAAGCATTTATAAAGCACTTCCCCAAATGCCAGACTTAGTACTGGGGATACAAATGCAAGCAAAAAGAAAGACAGTCTGTCTGTCTTTAAAATATTGCATTCTAATGAGGGAACACAACCTGTAAAAGAGCGGTGAAAAGCTGGGGAAGAAGGGAGTCTAATGAAGTCTGGAGAATGAAAGATGGCTTTTCATTTCCTCAAAATGGAGATTCCATTAGGAACTAACCAAGAGAAGGGGGCAGCAGGGGTGGAGGGAGAAGGCAGCTGAATCATAGTGGGCCTTGAAATGTCTAACAGGCAGTAGATGTGGATATGAAGTTCATGGGAGAAATTGTTGCCGTGACTTTGATTCAGAACTTCATCATCTCTTGCTCATATTTTTGCAACAGCCTCCTAATTAGTCTTCCTGCCACAAGTTTTGCCCTTTTCCAGTTTAACCTCTTCCACACAGCTGCCAAAGTGATTTCCCTTAAGCACAGATCTGTTTCACTCTCCTACTCAATAACCACTAGTAGCTACCTATTGCCTATAGAATAAAATATAAACTCCTCTATTTAGCTTTTAAAACCCTTCACAAACTTGTCCCAAACTATCTTCCCAGCCTCATTGTACATTAAACCCATCCTGTACTCTATGATTCAACCAAACTGGCTTTCCACCAAACTCTCTCTTCCACCTCACTTAATCTTTCTCTTTGATTAAGATACATCTCAAGTACTACCTTTTATATGAAGCCTTTCTTAATTTCCCCAAAGGCTACTATTCTCTCTCTCTCTCTAAATGCCTTGAGTTTATTTTCTTTATATTCATTCTATATATGACTCCATACGTACCTCTTGTCTTTCTGGTTAGAATGTAACCTGCTTAGGAATAAGGATTGTTTCATTCTTTTCATCCTCAGCACCTTGCACAGTACCTGGCATAAATTCTCTCTTATTGCCAAATAGATCTATGTCATCTGCAAAGAGATATTAAACATGGGAGCATGGGAGCTGAATTGACCAAGGAAGAGCATGGAGAGAGAACAGAGTCCAAGACAAAACCTTAGTGAACACCCACAGCTAGGATATGTGATATAGATGATGAGCCAGCAAAAGAGACTGAGAAGGAGTGACCAGGTAAATAGTATGAAAACCAGGAGAAAATAGTGTCACAAAAACCAAAACTAGAGAAAGTATGCAGGAGTAGAGAAGGTACCCAACAGTGTCAAATGCAGAGAAGTTAAAGCAGTGTCAAAAGCACAGAAGTCAAATACGATGAGAGCTAAGAAAAGACCATCAGATTTGGCAATTAAGAATTCATTGGAGAAAGTTGTATCAGGTCAATGATAAAGTCAGAAGCCAGATTGCAATGGTTAAGGTAGAAGGAAGTAGGAGCAAAAAATGTAGACAGCTTTTTCTAGGAATTTGGCTGAGAAAGGTAGGACAGATATGGTGGGGGGGCAGAGTCTAAGGGGTTGTTGAGTTTATTAGAAGTTTTTTTTCTTCTTAGGATGGGGGATTGAGGGCAATAGGGAAAGTACCAATACATATGGAGAGGCTGAAGATTGGAGAGAAAGGAGGAAGGATAACTGAGGGGAAGGGATGCAATCAAGGGCACAAGTAGGATTGGCCTTGGAAAGGAAAATGGACACCTCATTATAATAAAGTGGGGGAAAAGAGAGTGAGATAATACATTTTTGAAATAGAAAGGAGCAAAGAGTGAGCTATTGCTCCAATTTTCTCAGTAAAGCAAGACAATCCCTCAGCTCAGGCAGTGGGGGAGATGGGAGAGGGTGTGCTCTAGGAAATGAGGAGAGGAGGTTGAGAATAGCTTCTGTAGGCAGTGAGATAGGGAATTGATTAGGAAGGGAAAAAAGAGATTGCCTCCTACACCAAAGACCTAACTGAAGCTGAACAGTATGAATTTGTAGTATACTCAGCCAGTATGGTTCTGTGACTTCTTCCTGTTCCATTCCGCAGCATGTAAGAATAGAGGAACCAAAATGCAATGGAATACTATTATGCCATAAGAAGTAACAAAAGGGGGCAGCTAGGTGGTGAAGTGGATAGAACACTGGCCCTGAAGTCAGGAGGACCTGAGTTCAAATCTGCCCTCAGACCAAACACTTGACACTTACTAGCTGTGTGACCCTGGGCAAGTCACTTAACCCCAATTGCCTAATACAAAACAAAAGTAACAAAAGGGATGGATTCAGAGAAACCTAAGAAAATTTGTGTGAATTAATTAATTAAAATGAGAACCAGGAAAATAATTGATTAATAATAATAATTTTGAAAGAAAACAACTCTGATCAATGTAATGATCAACAAGGATTCCACCATCATAAAGAATGCTATATACCTCCTAATAGGTGATGGATTCAACATGCAGAACGAGATACATTTTTGGACTCATCCAATGTAGGAATTTGTTTAGCTTGAGTATGCCTATTTGTCAAAAAGATTTCTTTTCTAAATTGGAAGAGAAAATATTTGTTAATTGAAAAACAATTTTTTTAAAGAGCAAAGGAAGAGGATGGCATTAATTCAGGGGTGGAGTTTAGCAAGGGATGAGCTTTGATAGGACAAGGAGGTGAAAGATTTGAGAATTGATGACAGTGAGGAGTTGGACTGGTTAACTATAGGGTCAGGGATGTGAAGGAAAAAAAGTGAAGACAGATGAGGTAAAAAGAACTAAGTGGTGAAGAATTGGAGATTCTAATGGTCAAAAAATACATTTAGGAGAGGTGAGGTTTTTTTAAAAATTATTTTATTTTGAGTTTTCAACAATCACTTCCATAAGCTTTTGGGTTTTAAATTTTCTCCCCATCCGTTTCCACCTCCTTCCCCAAGATGGTGTGTAATCTAATATAGGCTCTACATATACATTCCTATTAAACATATTTTCATATTAGTCATGTTGTAAGGAAGAATTAGAATCCATAGGAAGAACCACAAGAAAGAGGAAACAAAACTAAACAGAGGGAAAAAAAGAGCAAATAGTATGCTTTCATCTGCATTCAAACTCCATAATTCTTTCTCTTGATGTGGGTAGCATTTTCCATAATGAGACTTTTGGAAATGTCTTAGATCTTTGCATTGCTGAGAAGGGCTAAGTCTATCAGCGTTAGTCATCACACAACATGGCTGTTACTGTGTACAATGTTCTTCTGGTTCTGCTCACTTCACTCTGCATCAATCCATACAAGTCTTCCCAGGTTTTTCTGAAATCTCTCT